AGAAAATTAAAAATACAAAAAGACAATTTTTGTCATGGTATCAGAGCCGGGAGGAGCCACCTGGGGACTGCTTTAAGTCGAATTTCCGGCAAAGTTACATAAGGCGAAACAGACTGGGGAAAGGCAAGAAGGGCCAGTTGGGTATCGAAATTCCGGCGACCTTCCTGTGCATCTTTCTCTACCTGGATAGCAACTGCTAATAGACGTTCTTGTAAACAGGAAGCACAAAATCCGACGGCGCTACTGAGATCAGCTGTGTGCTTCTTCCACTTCACTTACAGATGCAACAATTTTGTATCTATGTATGTATAGAATTGTGGGGGTTTACTAATGAGCAATGTGAAGGAATGATTTTTTGGTAGATCCGGTTGTTGAAATTGCGAAGGAATGATTTTTGGCAGATCCGGTTGTTGAAATTGTGAGTATTCCATTGTTCTTTTAGGCTTTACTACAAGTACGTGACTATTTGAGATTGGACTGGACTATTAGATTTTTTGGATTCAAGCTTTTTTGGGCTTACTATTCTGCTTGCTTCTTTTAAATAGTTTAGCAAGTTGGGCTCCAAATATTTTGGTTGCTATTTATTATTTTAGGCTACTGCTTGGATTGTTGCCTGTTGTTTGGACGGTTGTTATTACCTGTTGTTTGGACTGTTGCTATTACCCACAACAGTTGTACCTTTGCAAGAAATGGCTACCCTTCCTGGTAATTTTGGTACTAGCCTCCACAATTCTCATCAAGATGTTGAGAATAGTACATGGTTAATCGACTCAGGAGCCACCGACCATATGACTTTTACTGCCACGGACTTCACTCAAACTTCTTTACCACGACGCTCCAATATTGTCAATGCCAATGGCGTGATATCTCCAGTTACAAGAGTCGGCACAGTAAACTTATCTTCCTCTCTTCAACTGCATAATACTCTACTCGTGCCTTCTCTTTCGCATAAGCTGCTATCCGTGAGTCAAATTACCACTGATCTCAATTGTGCAATACTGTTTTATCCAAATTCCTGTCTTATACAGGATATTCTCACCAAGGAGATCATTGGACAGGGTACAAAGAGGGAAGGACTCTATTATATGGAGGACTTGAACATAGGCTGGGCAAATTCCACACATCTTCTCACTGATAATAAAGACCAGCAGATTTTGCTTTGGCACTGTCGAATATGGGACATCCATCGTTTAGCTACATGAAACACTTATTCCCAAAGTTATTCTCTAATCTTCGAAAGTTTGACTTTAAATGTCAATCTTGCATTTTGGCTAAAAGTCATCGAGTTTCCTACCCGCCGAGTTTGAATAAGAGTGAAATTCTTTTTGCCTTGATACACTCTGATTTGTGGGGTCCTTCTCCCGTTTCTAATGTGACTGGAATACGTTGGTTTGTGACTTTTGTAGATGATTGTACCCGTATGACATGGTTATATTTGCTCAAGGCTAAGAATGAATTGTCGCAAGTATTCCAGTCCTTTCAAGTTATGATTCAGACTCAATTTTTTGGAAAAATTAAGCTTCTAAGATTCGATAATGGTGGGGAATATGTTAACCACAAATTACAAGCATACTTCCAACAATATGGCATTATCCATGAGACTTCATGTCCACAACTCCTCAGCAACATAGAGCTGCTGAGCGGAACAATAGACACATTCTTGAAACCACAAGGGCAGTTTTACTCGGAGCTCATGTACCTAAACGACATTGGGCTGCTGCTGTTACCACTGCTATTTATCTTATAAAACGTATGCCCTCTAAAGTCTTAGATTTTAAGACTCCCCTGCAAGCTCTCTCCAAATTTACTCCACTACCTACTACCTTGATGCTTCCACCTAAGGTGTTCGGGTGTGTTGCATATGTTCACCTTCACAAGAATCAAAGAACCAAACTTGATCCCTGTGCACTGCGATGTCTTTTTTTGGGATATGCTGCTCACCAAAAGGGATACCGATGCTTTGATCCTAAAACTCAGCGAACCTATATCACTATGGATGTCACTTTTGTGGAATCGAAAAATTTTTATTCACCCAATTCATCACATCAGGGGGAGACACAAGATGAAGCTGCAATGAATTGGTTGAAATGGGATTGGGCGAACTCCATGAACTCCAATTCTCATGAAAATGCAATCAATATGGAGTCACATGGTAATACGAGTACAACTGTAAGAGATGAAGCTATAAGTAATCCAAGATTGGAGAACACAACATTGGGAATGGAAACAGAGGAACCTAGAAATGAAATTGAAGCTCCAAAAGTAGAAGAACCTCACTATCCCCACTCTTCAGTACCCGAAGACTTATCTCCTGAGAATATTCCTGAGGTAAGTTCTAATAATATAACTCCAAATGATAACATGGATGTCTCTGTTGGTTATAGCTTAACTTTCAGGCATAACCGAGGCAAACCACCTAACAAATACTCACCTGAGGTTAAGGAACGAAGGTCGAGATACCCAATTGCAAATTATGTGTCAACAAAGGACCTATCTGAGCCTCTCAAGACATTTGTGCATGAAGTCTCCTCCCACCACATTCCAACTAGCATCACAGAAGCCTTAGCCGATTCAAAGTGGGCTCGAGCAATAGAGAAATGGAGGCATTGCAAAAGAATAAGACATGGACTTTAGTTCCACCACCAGAAGGAGCAAAAATAGTGGGATGTAAATGGGTATTTTCCATCAAATACAAGGCAGATGGAACTATTGAACGATATATAGCGAGGCTTGTAGCAAAGGGGTATACGCAAACATATGGAGTAGA